TTTCAGATCCTTTGTTTGATCTGCTTTGCCTAATTATCAGGGAGGACTATGCAGTTAAAACTAGGTAACAAAGCAACTCTGTGAAAATGAGGTTGAAATGTTAACCCCTTGGTTCTCAGGTTCCACAGCTTAGGACAGAGTGCAGTCTGGCTCACACTTTCCCTGGAGGTTGTGGTAAATATTCCTATTAAAAAAGGAAAGAAACCTTGGCTCTCTTTCCTTTCACCTCCTCCCAAGCTATAAGCAGAGTTACAGTGTGAACAATGGGATTATTAGCAAGATTTATGAAGCATGAACCAGAGTCAGAATTACCCAGAGCTGCCTACAACTCACCTTACAACCTTTTACTTCTACTTCACTGTTGCCAAGGACTTGCCTTTCTTGACTAAAGCTGCTAAAATTGTGCTTATTTTTAGAAGCCAATTATAAAGTCAATGGTGCTTTTGTGAAGGTTTTCTATAAAAGAGACAAATACCTTATAAAAAAAATTTAAAAAAGAAAGAGAGAGAGAGAGAGAGCTCAAGAGCTTTTACTCCTGCATGAGAACCATCCACTCTGAATCCTCAGTTCTCTGGTTGCTCAGCTACCACCTGAGCAGGAATCTACTTCCCCCAAGGCAGGAGCATTCCTATTCTGATCAGGGGGCATCCGTTTACCCCTTGGGTCTCAAAAATTCAGACTGGGCAGAGCAAGCACAGCTTATCTCTAGCAATAGTCAGCCCCTGGCTGAGTCCTTTAGAAGATGGGGCCCAATGGATGTCAGTGACACAAATTCCTTTAAAATACATCTAAGAAATGATGTGAGCAAGGGATAAATGGGTGATACATGGTAAAGCACATATCGCAAAACAATAACTGCAGAATCTGGGTGGTAGGTTTATAGGGTATGTTACACAATCCCTTCACACCTTGCTGTGTGTTTGAAATTGTCTTAGTAAAGCATTGGGGGGGAAATGTTAGTGACAAAGAACACACAGAGCTTGTGACATAGGCAAAACCAAAGAATTTATGAAGTTGGGATGTGGCTGAGGAACAAAGCTCTACATGACAACACTTCTGAAATGTGGAAGCTGAGACAAAACAGAAATTCCCTAAAAGAGAAGTGGCCACCAGCAATCAGAGGGTTTTCTTGTCAGAGGAGGCCAGGACAGGAGCTCTCCTGCAGGAAAGGCCTACTCAGAGACCAAGAAGGGGTGAGAGGGTCTAGGGCTACAGCAGAAAACTACTGTGGAGCGTGGCCACTTGGACTCTAGGCCACAACAGCTTCACTACAGGGTCCTGCGTCTGGTAGCTCTGAGCCTCCCACTAGTACTAACAGACTATTCCAGCTCTTCTCAGGGCCTGTGGATACCTAGGAACACAAGATCCTATTGCTGACTCCAAGGCCTAACTCTCTCCCACTGAGCCCCAGGCCTGACCACACCCTCTGCATCTTGGCCTCCTTCAGTCAGCCACTCAATATCTATCACCCAACAGGTGCCAGACACTGTGCTTGGTCCTCAATAGGTTTTGACCCTCCCAGCTTCTGAAAGCCAGTTTTCTAGGCTCAAGATCCTCAGGCTAACTCCAGAGGTTTCTTCTCCTTCAGAGACTAAAGTGGGAGGACCCTGCCCACAGAGCCAAATCCACAGGAGGAAAACTGACCTGCAGATACTGGAAATGGGCAGAGAGAATGGGAAACCAACCCTTGTCCTGTCCTGAGTCACCTCGCCCTCCTGAAGGGAAAGGTAGGGTGGGTAGGATAGAGCAAGAGGCACAAAGGTTACGCACAGTTTCTATGAATCCAAAGGGAATAAAGGATTCCAGAATGAGCAAGCCTCACTTCAGGTCCATTTAAGACAAATAAAAAGACTGAACTCCACATGGCAAGAAGCAACATATGGCTAACGAAATAGCTTCCAGCAAGTTCTAAATAAACAAAAAGACCACTGACTATCAATGTTTGGGGCCTAATCCTAACCTCTGAAGCAAGCACCCTGGAGTTCAACCATGCACATCCTACAAATAGCATCCTGGTTCCTCTCACAAAGGGGAGAATGCTGAGTGACAAAGAACTTGGAGGTAATTCAGGAAGAGTCTCTGATGGATCAGAAGCCAGCAGGCATGGGATGACACAAAGGTGATGCTCAAAAGCCCTTCTGACCAAACTGACACTCCTCATCTAAGAAGGCCCTAGGACACAGCCATCCAGCTGTGAACACCTCTGAGGAACAAAGAGGCCACTCTCAGTGTCTCCATCCCCCAGCAGCTAACGTGGAACCCTTCACATAACAAGCACTACAAATAAGTGCCTGTGAAGGTGAACCCATGCTAACTAATGTAAACCCTGACTGGTTAAAAGTGCCAAAAACCACAAAGACACAGGGTTTTAGCAGGGGGAGGGGCCCCTAGAGAAGATCTGGTCCAAACATATCTCTGCATGGATGAGAAAAGTCTGAGAGAGCATGACATTTAAAGAAAGCAGACCTGGTTAGAGACATTAATTAGAACTGAGTTCTAGGGGATCCCTGGGTGGCGCAGCGGTTTAGCACCTGCCTTTGGCCCAGGGCGCGATCCTGGAGACCCGGGATCGAGTCCCACATCGGGCTCCCGGTGCGTGGAGCCTGCTCCTCCCTCTGCCTGTGTCTCTGCCTCTCTCTCTCCTCTCTCTCTCTCTCTCTCTCTCTCTGTGTGTGTGTGTGTGTGTGTGTGTGACTATCATAAATAAATAAAAATTAAAAAAAAAAAAAAAAAGAACTGAGTTCTGATACTTACTGGTTCTGTAACTCAGACTTGTTACAAAGCCCGAGGCCCTGCTCCCTCCATCCACCACCTTGGGGAGGGTGGTCAACTTCTATACCATGGAAATGACTCACCAAGAGGTGGAAAATGGGAAAGCTAGTTACTATTATGTCTAGCCATGCCACCACCCACCTTCAATTATTTGTAACACCTAAGAGGAAAAAGACTACTCTGGCCTTTCCTGTCACTGGTTTATCACTACCTCCAGCCTCTTCCCCTTCTACTTTGCAAGGACCTCTACCACCAGTTACTCATCTTCATCCAAAACTCTGGGCTAGAGCTAAAAAACCAACCATCAACAGCACAAAGAGCTCAAGAAACCCAAAGCGTAAGAAGCAGCCCCCTCCCCCTGCACTGCACACCACCAAAGGGAGGTGAAGACCCAAGGGGAACATATCAGCACCCCAAGCCTGGGTGAGGACCAAACCAGAAATGTTCAGTTCATGTGCTTCCGAGAGGCTGCTTCATTCCCATTTAAGCAAGAAGAACAAGAGCTTTCTCAATAACCTTCAGGAGCACAGGAGACATTTCAGATTCTACATTCCATTTGACACCACACAAGCCAGCAGATGCCTGCAACAGTGTGCACGGCACTTCCTCACTTCCACGTTAACATGGAGAGAAGTTCAAAATCATGGGGCACCAGCAAGGGACAAACCTCCTGATGTGGGGGGTTGCGTGGGGTAGGTTCTCCTGGAGTTCATTAAGACCAGGTACCGAGGCTCTCCCCCAGAGATCAGGGCAGGTCCAGGGTCAGAAAGGAAGTAGAGCTGCGGCAGGACACTCTACCCGGCCAAGGAGAAAGCCCAGCCACCGTAAGGGCACAAACTCAGTCATGTCAGCCCTTGTATCTGAGCTGTCAACTCTAGTGGAAACAAAGCAAGCACTACCGTTCACAGAAGACAGGCCTGGAGTCAGTGCGCCGAGACTTACTCTGTTATTTTCATTAATCCTCAAGGATTAATCTACAATGAGGGAGGTCTAGTCATAGCCATCTTACAAACAAGGAAACAGAATCAGAAAGAGAAAGAGACTTGCTCCAGGTATTTATGAGAAGGAGACAATCTGTAAACAAATCATTATTGAGCACCTGCTGTGTGCCAGGGCTATTTTGGGCTTTGGAGACACAGTGGCAAACAAAACAGTGTCTACTTGGATTTTTGTGGAGAAGGGAGATATGAATAAACATCTCAGATTCCAAAGTCCCCTGCTGCCTAATCGGGACAGGAAAAAAATAGTGATCACGAAGACAGCCTCTCTCTCTGAAATTCTGCACCAAGGATGAAAACAGAGCCCCAGTCGCTATCCAGTGGATTCAAGAAAGGACGTGCACTGCAGTCTGACAGTCTTCGTGTAAATCCTACCAATTCCACTTAGTAGCTGCATGACCTTGGGCAAGTCATTTCTCTGAGCCTCGGCCTTCTCATTTGTGAAATGCAGATTATCTACCCATCCAATGAGGTTGTTGAGAAAATGCAATAGAATATTAATCTGCATTGGGCAGAACATGATATGATATACACCCAAGAAATTAATCAGTGTTAGTACTGCAAGCATTATTATTGTTGTGGACGCAGTTACTATTACTGTCAGGTACTGGGAAGAGGAAGAAGGGGCTCCAGGCAGCTAATGGTACAAAGACTGGCGGCTCACATCCACACAATTAGCCCACAAATGCCCCCTTACTTGCCCTCTCTGATGTGCATCAGGTAGCATTACTTTACTTCTCTCCACACCCAAGCATCAGGTAGCATTACTTTACTTCTCTCCACACCCAAAGCAGAGACTATCCCTAAATCAGATTATAGACTCTGAGGACAGGGATGTCTCATATCTCCATCATCTCCAGAACTGGGTACCTAGCATACAACAGTGCACATATTAAATGGATTTAAACTGTATTAACCAGATTTCACTCTTATCAAACCCTTGGAGTCAAGAAAGTTGAGAGATGATCTCTCAGCACACCCTGCAGGGATCTATGGTTGCTGCCACCTCTCTTTGAAGAGAGGAAGGGACCAAGGAAAGAGGCCTATTATCTTTTGGTTATTCCAGGTTCTATAGACAGTCTTCCCAGAGGCCCAAGACAGTGATGTGGATCTGGAGCTGGGCTGGGGAGTGGACAGTGTGGGCAGCTGGTTGCTTCCCAAACCAAAGATGAGACCAGAGTCATCCAACTCCCAGGCCATTCCTGCAGAGGCTGACAAGTTGCCACATACCATGTGCTCCATGCAGATACTGATCTCGCCATCGCTGTAGAATGCACCATAGAAGCCCACGATGTATGGGGAGTTGCACTCATGTAGAACCTGTAGCTCCCTTATGATCTGGTTCCGGATTGCAGGTTTGATCTCCAGGTGAATTAGCTGGGGAAAGAGAGGTGGAAGAGAGGCTTTAAAAATATATGGATGGATGGAAAGAAGCTTTCTTAAATGCTTACGCTCTTAAAGGTAGGAAGAGAAAAAACAGGTAAGTTTTAACTACCAAGTTTTTGCCCAAACAAAGCACTCAGTGCCAACTAACCAAGGCAAGTATGGATTCTGAAGGAGCTGTAACGAGGGGAGAGTGGCTATGCCTCTGCTCCTAGGAGCCAAGACTGGGGGTGGGGGGGCCTCACACCTCCTGAGAACAAAGCTGAATGGAGAGTTTCCTCCAAAAGGAGCAGTGAAGCTGAGAGATGAGGGAAAAGTAGCCTTGAGAACCTGAATGATACCTGAGGGCTATCGGAGTAGAAGGGTATGAGAAACTGAGTATGTGACCTAGGCTGCCCAGGAGATTTCCCCTTGACCTCTGGAGCCCAAGGTGGTTAAGAGTCAGCCAGGGCCTCAGGTGCCACCTTATGTCCCCCTCATGTTGTCCCTGGTTTCATCCAGAGAGACAGGCGACAGACACATCAGGCATACGAAATGGTTACTGAATAATAGTAAGCTGCTAGAAAGGGTCACAGACAAGGAGTGCAAGAGAACCTGGAAGCCATGGTTATTGGTGTGGGCTGAAGCTGCTAGTGAGAGCCAGACAGGAGGCGAGCCATAAGGACGGGCACTATTCAAGAGGATGGAAGGAGTGGCCCAAGCAAACATATGCAGTCAGGATTAAACATGGTATGCTGGAAAACATGGAAGAGCCCAGTCTTGCCAGAGCAGGGGCCGTTTTCAGAAAGAGGAGGACCATGGCTCCACAGGAAGTCCAGCTCCAACACTGCTGACCACAGCGGGGAGCTGAGATGTTACACTGCAGGGAGCTGCAGAGGAAGCATCCACAGGGCTGGACCTCAGGCAAACAACCTGATAGGTCGGTGCACTGCTGGAGCTAGCTAAATAAAAGCAGGTTCTCCTGCACGGGATAACGGCAAATAGGCACCCTGCATTCTTTCTAGAGCACACACAAAGCTAAGGAAGGTCACTTGCTGTTATTTTCCAGTCTGGGGGTGGGGATAAATACACTAACACATCATCAGTATGTTTATCCTATAATCTGATAGATAACAGGAGCTCAAAATTCCAACAGCACAAAAAGGTACTGAATGAAAAGTCAGTCTTCCTCCCACTGGCCCCAGATCTTCCAAGAGATAATCCAATTTACCTATTCACCAAGTCAAATCCCATTCAGCCACCCACCCCCCATTTTTTTTTTTTTTTTTTTGAGTGGCCTCACCTTTCTGGCCATGACTAGGCCGGACGGCTTGTGGGAGACCTTGAACACCACGCCACCGTTGCCAGCACCCAGCTCACTGATCTTCTCGAAGTCGTCATCCTTCAGTTCCCCGACCTTCTGCTTCTGGGTGAGAAAGGCCTCAAGGCGCTTCCGCTGCTGCTCATCAAGCTCCAGCTCCTCCAGCTTCTTCTGCAAGGCCTCCAGGTTGGTCCTGTCCCAAAGGGGGGAGCACGAGTCAGAACTGGCATCAGAGAGGTCTCCCCTAGAGGAGCACTTGTATGGTGGAGAGTTCCAGCTCCCAGGCCGGATAGGAGAATGGATGCAGGGGTTCTGGGGGACAGTCCCATGTGCAGTGGCCCTGCCTCTGCTCCCTTTAATACACCACCAGACACCCCTCCCCTCTGACACCCTTCTCTCGAAGCCTCGGTTTCCTTATTTGTCAAATGAGGGAATTAGGTATCTTCACTATGCTGAAAGTCTACAGAAGGAACCAAAGAATCTGCTAAAATCCAGAACGAGCCACTTTCATTTGCCTTAAAATCCCAGTTCCCAAAGCCCCACTGGTATTGGATTTATTAAGTTAACATCATACACAAAATCAAATCTATGCCCTAAAACCACTAAACTGAAATCAAGTCAAACCATCAAAACAGGCTCTAAGCTGAATGGCAACAGCAGACACTCTCCTCTGACCTGTAATCAGGTCAGGGGATAGGTTCATCAAAATAAAGCAAGGAATCCTAAAATATATATACCTAAAATTTTTATTTTTGTATCACATATATAAATGTGCATTCATTCATCCACCTTCTTTTTTTTTTTAATTTTTATTTATTTATGATAGTCATAGAGGGAGAGAGAGAGAGGCAGAGACACAGGCAGAGGGAGAAGCAGGCTCCATGCACCGGGAGCCCGACGTGGGATTCGATCCCGGGTCTCCAGGATCGCGCCCTGGGCCAAAGGCAGGCGCCAAACTGCTGCGCCACCCAGGGATCCCATTCATCCACCTTCTAATGTAGGTAGGGGAAGCCCTCACTTTGAGTAAAGATCCATTGGTAAGAGCCCCACATCATCTTCCTTACGTGAACCAGAACATGATCTGTTGTCCATCATTTCCAATGCCCAATTCATTAAAGTGGAGTAAAAATATAGACAAAGAATAATATCAAAATAAAATTGTAAGAGTTTTAGGTTTTCCCCCAATCTTAATGCCCATCTAATTTGACAGTAATGTTTTAGTGAGCTGAACTTATTGAATCTTTCCATGGCTTCTAATTAGTGTTCAAAGGGTGGGGGGGGGGGCAGGGACGGGGACGACCCACTGCATTTGCAGGCTTATTTTACCAGTTTATCTGATATTTAAGTACATGACTTAATTACAATACCAGTCACATCCGTACAAATGACTTTGGGAACAAACTAGTTCTTGGTAAGCACATAATTCAGCCAGTGGGTGCTGAGGCGAGTGGGCAGGGCAGAGAGCAGCCTGCAAGCTGTGCATTTAGCACGCTTGTGGGCAGCACTGAGGTTTCACAGAGAACGGAAAAGCATTCGTTATTCCTGGGAGTTCATTAAGGGGACAATGGTAAAGAGAGCTTCCACTGTGTTTCATGTGATTTTAGTCCTAGTCTAAACAAACAACATGGGTGACAAGACAGGGCATCATTACACATCAGAAGGCTGGTGCCCACCCCTTAACATACACTCCATTACTGAGCTTGAAGTAAGCATCACCTTCCACTTTTCATTTACCCTCTATTCCAACTCTCAAGAAGGCAAGGAGATCCAGACCTACTGCCTCCCCAGTCTATGGAAAGACCCAACATACCTTACAAATAACAGTACAGGGGCCACAAAGGACACCAGGCTATTTTTACCAAGTGACCTCACTGGGTAGCTCTCAGGGAAGGAAGGTTGGTGCTATGGACCGAATATGTCTCCCTAAAATTCATATGTTGAAGCCCTGACCCCAAACGTAACTATGTTCAGAGACAGGACTTGAGGAGGTAATTAAGGTTAATTAAGGTCATATGAGTCCTAATCAGATAGGACGGAAGGCCATAAGAAGAAAGGTGGCCTCTGCTGCCTCTGGACACAGACCAAAGGCAACCATGTGAGGACACCAAAAGAAGGTAGCTGTCTGCAGACCAGGAAGAGAGGCCTCACCAGAACCCAACCATGACAGCACTGTCATCTTGGTCTTCAAGTCTCAGGACCACGAGAAAATAAGTTTCTGTTGTTTAAGCCAACCAGTCTATGACATTTCATTATGCAGCCCAGACTAAGACAGCTGGTAATATTCTCGTTCTGCTGAAAGGCTCAACTAAGTCTCACAGCTGCCCCAGTCTCTCAGACATAGGGACCCAGAATGAGCATGGCTGGGAGGCCACAACACACACCTTCAGGTTTCCTGACTCTCAGGTCACTCCACAAAGAACTCATCAATGACAAAGTTTGGAGACACCTGTCAAATGCAGACAGACTCCACAGCTAAAATTTCAATGAAGTTACAGCTGCCCTGTAGGCCTCAGCTGTCCAACTAGAAATACACACCCCCAAAGCTTGGGTCAAACCTGCACGCACACTGAGCAGGTATGAGGGAGAGGGGAGGACTGAATGGAAGGAAATCACTCTCCTCACAACACTGTGTACTGTTTCGTACTTGCTTTTTTTTTTTTTTTAAAAAAAGGATTTTATTTATTTATTCATGAGAGACACACACACACAGAGGCAGAGACACAGGCAGAGGGAGAAGCAGGCTCCGTGCAGGGAGCCCGACATGGGACTCATCCCGGGTCTCCAGGATCACACCCTTGGCCAAAGGCAGGCGCTGAACCGCTGAGCCACCTGGGCTGCGCTGTTTCATACTTGCTAATGCATTTAAGCCACAGCAGAGAGCAAACTCAAGCACAAACAGGTGAAGTGACTTGTCCAAGGTCACACAGCTAGTAAGCAACAGAGCAAAGACTGAAACCAGGGCAGAGAGAATCTCTAATCTCTACTATCTCTTCAAAAAGTTCAATACTTTTAAGAGAATCAACTTGCAGACATGCATAAGACCCCAGTGTGGGGCATTTTCCATACCAGGGCTCCATCATACACGAAGATGGTGTACCTACATAGAGCCCTCTGTGCCAGATGCAATCCTGCCTGCCCTGAATATCAAGCTGAACACTGCCTTGCAAGTAATGCTGGCCACAAGAAACCCCATCCATCTAGCAAAGAAAAAGAGGAAATTCTAACTCTGCTCATTTTCCTTGACTCTCTATAAAATAAGTAATTCTCCTACCTTCAGGAAGAAAAACTAAATCTAGGCTTCCTCCCTCCACTTTCTATGCTCATCAGTCTCACCAACCACAGCACTGGCTAAGGGACTTGACTTGCTCCTGGTGTGTGCTTTCAGAAGGTTGTGCCACAGGACACAGCAAAGACTGTATGCTATGGTGGCATGACTTCCCTGATGACTCCGGGTGGAACAGCACTGCCATGCTAACAAGTCATCTGTCATCAGGAATCCCAGTTTCTTACCCTAAAGTAGTCAACAACTAGCTGTGCGGTCCACAGACTGACTACTCATTAACTTTGACACATCTCCGTTTTCGCTTCTGTCAAAGAGAGTCACAAGTCCGTGCTTCCTCTACCAGGGGAGGACCAAAACAGAAAACTAATGGGAAGGAACAACGGAATTTGGACACACTTCCACACTAGTGTTAGGGCAAGTGTGGGTGAGGAGCTGCCAAGGCAGCAACAGTGGCATCCAGAAGCTATTGTCTTTCCTTCAACAATTCCTAAAACCCTTGAAAAGTTTCTTAAGAATTACTGCAGTGAATGAAAGACAAAGGATTTTATCTGAAGGTGAAAGGAAAATCCCGGCATCTAAATGGCTTTCAGTACTCATTAAAAAGAAATGAATCGGGGATCCCTAGATGGCTCAGCAGTTTAGCTCCTGCCTTCGGCCCAGGGCGTGATCCTGAAGACCCGGGATTGAGTCCCACATCAGGCTCCCTGCGTGGAGCCTGCTTCTCTCTCTCTGCCTCTCTCTCTGTATCTCTCATGAATAAATAAATAAAATCCTTAAAATAAATAAAAAGATAAAAATAAATCAATCAATAAACGTAGCAGTGTTTAGCACTGCTTCCTCCGGGACGGGGAGTCAATCAAGTTCAACAAGGCTCATTTGTGGGATGCCTGGGTGGCTCAGCGGTTGAGCATCTGCCTTTGGCTCAGAGCTTGAGCCTAGATTCCCAGGATTGAGTCCCGCATTGGGCTCTTTGCAGGGAGCCTATTTCTCCCTCTGCTTCTCTCTCTGTGTCTCTCATGAATAAATAAATAAAATCTTAAAAAAAAAAAAAAAAACAAGGCTCATTCCTGCCCTACCCCACCCCAAGCTGAAATGCTTCCAACAAAGGAAAGAGGAAGAGAGGGGCCTGTCTTCCTTCAACCACACCACAAGTCTCCAAACCTCAGAGGACCAGAATCTGTGTCCTGCCCAGTCTTTGGCTTTAACTGAAATCAGCAAAATCAGGACTATGGATCAAGAAAGGACACCGGAGCCCAGAACAATAAATATCTGACATACACACACAGCCCTCTCCAGGGACCAGCTATAAAGTCTAACTCCCATCACCCTCATGCACCACAGCAGAAAGAAAATAACCCATGGCAACATGAATTCTGCACCGTGGCTGTCTTACAGTAAACACAAGTTCATCGAGATACAAGATTATAGGTTTGAAACAGGAATGTAGAGAAGAGCAAGGAATGTGTAGAAAAACAAGGGTTGTCATTTGTATTCTGAACACACCAAGAAGGCACAATGTAGTGGGTGGAGAAAGGATGATCCTATGGGCAAGAACATCTCCTTCCCTCTCCCTCATCCCACCCATCCACTAAGGCTAACTGCAGTACCACAGCTGGAATATTGCATTTATGGCTCGGTGGTTTAAGTCAGGGAGCAGTATAAAACGTGGCATGGGAAGGACCTTAAAAACCACCTGATCCAATCCACTTTACTGGTAAGGTCACAGAGCTCCAGAGAGTACAAAGTCACAAAGCTCACTGGCAGCAGGTTTCCTTAATCCTGGAACAGAGCTCTCTTCAAGGCCGTACACTGCCATCTCCAGCCCTGATGGACCCTGAAATGGGAAGCTGACCTAAAGTAATGATTTAAGGAGAAGGGAGGTGACGTCTAGACAAAGGAATGGAGTCTTC